CCGTTTCTTCTTCGTCCTAAAATCTTGTCTTCTTCTTCCCCTATAACTTTAATGGTTGAAACTCTAGAACCCTCTCTCGTCGGAGAAATTGCTTGAGATCTAGGAAGGTCGAAAAAATCGAAGCCACCAAAGTAAATTGTGAGTGTGCTCAAACTAATTTTTTTTTAATTAGTAGAAGTGATTCCTTAATTTGTTTTCCAACGTAATGCATATAGATCCAATTTTTCTCACACAAACATTTACCGAAGATGGTTGAAGAGATAATGGGAGAGTTCCGAGACGAGTGCTGGGACTAGATTTGTTGACAGTCTGGCGAAAACTCTAACGATTGGCGGAGTGAGTCGCTGCCGTTTAACCGATATGTAGGATCGATGAGTTTTTACGGATTTGTAGTAGAGATTTCCCCCAAATTTCATTCAGAGCCATGGATGTAGTAGATCTCATACTTTTCTCATAGTATGTGGATCTAGAGATGAGAGAGAAGCGAGAGTTGTCGAGGATGTTTATTACAAGATAAAATTATTATTATCCGCTATGCGTGTTATGGTATCAAGTATGTGTATCTAGCATTACAAATCAATGGCAACGTCTTAATTTAACCGTTAATGTATTTTTTATCCAATTTTAGTATCTTGATTTGTGTCTATATGATGTTAAAGATATCCAACTAATCAACAATATACTCGGATAAATAATATATTTTCACCAAGCATAATTTTAACCTGACTAACATGCACTGTAAAACATTGTACAAAGCATAACAATTTTTTTTTATTATCCATCTAACTAATCTATCTCCCGCCAAGTAAAAACTTAGCCGTTTATCAATTATGTTGAAATATAAATTGTAGTCATCAAATATGTTAGCTGTATAACTAATATAGCCGAATAACAAATATAATATTTTCACCAATTAGACACAATTCATTGTTAGAAACAAACTATTAAATATAATATTTTCTAACATGATAAATGACTGGTAAATACAAACTATTATCCGCTATTTTACATATTAGCAGTAAAACATTGAATTAATAAGGAAACACTTTTTACTAAGTATAAAAATATTCAATCACATAACATCTAACAATACAATTAACCGATAAATGAAGAGCTATATGCTATGAAATATGTTAGCAGTAAAAGAAAAATTGTTATCCGAGTTATGTGTGTTATGTGTGGACGCCTCATCCTGGTCCATGAGCTACATCCGATCCTGCCATATACAATAAATTAGTTACACATCTATTTCAAAAGTCTATATGCGTCTAATGCAAATATTAGACGTCTAAGAAAATATTTAGCGGCTAATAAAAAAAATATGTATTATACAAACAGACATGGTTATCATCATATTTGTTAACATAAACAAAATGCATATTATGTTGTTCCATTCACCAGTTTTTGTCCGGAAAAAATGCTAACATATTATAATTAAGTTATCACGTTAAATAAAATGTTAGATGTAAACAAAATGTTTATATGACCTAATCCACTTGAAACCTATTTATTGAGTTATTTAAGTGAGTTAACTCACCGAGTCAAAACAAACTCACTAAGAAGAAAAACCATATTTCCAAATACCAAATTAAATGATTTTTTTCTAAAAATAAAAAAGTTATCTAAAAAATGATCAAATGAAGATGAACACGTACTCAAAAAGACTATTGTTATTGCTATGATGATGAATTTTATGGGAAACCCACTTTTTCAACCATCTTGCTCTTTCTTCTTCACCGTCGCGTTACCAGTGCTCCAACGCCACAAATAACTTGTTCGTCGCGGCCATTATCATCAATAAATTTGTTTTTTCTCCATTCAAGCAAAGATAATTTCTGATGATA